CCCATTCAAGAGGTTGTCTTTTCACTCTATTGAAAAAAGAAACCTTTTAGTTTAATGTAGTCCGATTTATCTATTTTTGGTTTTTTTGCCTATGGTTTTGAGGTCTTAGCCATAAAATCTTTGCCTAGACCCGTGTCTAGAAGAGTTTTTCCTATGTTTTCTTCTTGTAGTTTTAGTTTTGAGTCTTACACTTAAGTATTTATCTTGAGTTGATTTTTACATATGGTGAGAGATAGAGGTCCAGTTTCATTCTTCTGCGTATTGTTATTCAGTTTTCCCATCACCATTTATCAAAGAGGGTATCCTTTACCCAATGTATGTTCTTGGTGGCTTTGTTGAAGATCAGTTGGCTGTACATATGTGGATTTGTTTCTGGCTTCTCTGTCTGTTGGTCTCTGTCTATGTTTATACCAGTACCGTGCTGTTTTGGGTACCATAGCCTTGTAATATATTTTGAAGTCAGGTAATGTGATGTCTTTAGCTGTGTTCTTTTGGCTATTCTGGTTCTTTTTTGGTACCATTCGAATTTTAAGATTGTTTTTACTATTTCTGTTTTCATTTACTGTAATATTTAAATATTGGTATGCCTTTTGTATTCATTCACAATACTTTAAATCAAATAAAGTCATACTGCATTGTGAATAATTGACTCAGGAGCTCTTGAAAATTCAGTGTGGTTTAAGATGAATTGGAAACATTTTTTGTTTTTATCTCTTTCTAATTTATGTTGCCTTATGACACTATGTATGTTCATGAGAGCATTCTTAGAATCAAGTTGGAAATCATTAGATAGTTAATAGACTGGTAGAAATGTAGTTGTTCATGGATTTGGGTTATGAAAAATAATTAAAATACTAATGAAAATTTTTATTTTAAAATGTCTATATTTATAGGCCATATTGGGGAAAAACTTTAAGCAAATAAAATTACATGTATTTACCAATTACCTAGTGAGATAATTGAATCAAATACTGTATTTTAAGGTCGATGCAAGTTTTGGTATAATAATTTTATTCTGTATTTTTTGAGATTAAAACTTGACAAGATATTCAGAGGTCACTGTCACTGAAGCATCTGAAGAGGATTATGACTACGAAGAGGTAATTTGTTAATTTTGAGTTAATTTATTCCGTAAATTAATTGCAATCATTCTGATGAAATATGCACTTTATTTTCTGAAAGATATTAACAATTTTTTTTTTCCTTGAGAGATGCTAGCTTTTCAGCCAGATTTATTTATTTATTCATTTAATAGTATTATGGGGTACAAATAGTTTTGGTCTTTTGGTTAAGTGAATCGCTTTTATAGTGAGTCATGGTTATAAGAGTACCTGTCACACAGATATTGTTCGTTGTACCTGTTCGGTACATTTTTGCCTGTCCCCTCCTCTACCTTTCCCCAGGTTGATTTCCATTGAATTTTATTCCCTCTATGTACATGTGTGCTCATCATTTAGTTCCAATTTAGTAGTGAGTACATGTGGTGTTTGTTTTTTCATTATTTAGATACTTCACTTATGATAATGGTCTCCAGTTCCATCCAAATTGCTGCAAAAGGCATTAATTCATTCTTTTTTATGGCTGTGTAGTATTCCATAGTATACATATACTACATTTTGTTAATCCACTTATGAATGGATATGCACTCAGATTGATTCCACATCTTTACAATTTATTGTGCTGCAGTAAACATTGGTGTGCAGGTGTCTTTTTGATAAAATGTATTATTTGCCTTTGAGTAAATACCCAGTAGCGGGATTGCTGTATCAAATAGTAGGTTGACATTTAGTTCTTTGAGCAATCTCCCTAGTGTTTTTGATAGAGGTTGTATTAATTTGCAGTCCCACCAAGAGTGTATAAACATTCCTTTCTGTCTGCAAACCAGCACGTTTTTTTCTTTGTACCTTTAAATAAAGGCCATTCTGACTCGAGTAAGGTGATATTTCACTGTGGTTTTTAATTTGCATTTCCCTGATTATTAGTGACATTGAATATTTGTTCTTGTTTATTGGCCATGTGTCTACCTTCTTTTGTAAAGCTTCTGTTCAAATCTTTTGCCCACTTTTTAATGGGGTGGTTTGTCTTTTCTTGCTGATTTGCTTTAGTTGTTTGTAGATTCTCGTTATTAGTCCTTTATCAGATGTATTGCTTGTGAATATTTTCTCCCTTTCTGTAGGTCGTCTATTTGCTCTGTTAATTATTTCCATGGCTTTGCAGAAGCTTTTTAATTTAATGAAGTTCCATTAATTTATTATTGTTGTTGCCATGATTGCCTTTGGGGTCTTCTTCATGAATTCTTTGCCTAGGCCAATGTCTAAAAGAGTTTTTCTCACATTTTCTTTTTGAATTTTTAGGGTTTTATGTCTTACATTTAAGTCCTTTATCCATCTGAATTAATTTAAGTGGTGAGAAATATGGGTCCTGATTCATTCTTCTTCATGTGGCTATCCAAGTTTCCCAGTACCATTTATTGAATAAGGATTCTTTTCCCCAGTGTATATTGTTGACTGCTTTGTCAACAATCAGTTGGCTATATGTAGATGGTATTATATCTGAGTTTTCTGTTTTATTCCATTGGTCTATGTCTCTATTTTTGTGCCAGTACCATGCCGATTTAGTTACTGTCACCTTGTAGTATAAAGTCTGGTAATGTGATGCCTCCCAATTTGTTCCTTTTCCTTAAGGTTGCTTTGCCTATTTGGGCTCTTTTCTGGTTCCATATGACATGCAGAATTATTTTTTTCTAGATCTGTGAAATAGGATATTGGTATTTGGATGGGAATTTCATTGAATCTGTAACTTACTTTAGGTAGTATGGATGTTTTAACAATGTTGATTCTACCGATCTGTGAGCATGATATCTTTTTCCACTTGTTTGTATCATCTGCAATTTCTTTCCTCAGTGTTTCATAGTTCTCTTTGTAGAGGTCTTTCACTTCCTTGGTTAAGTATATTCCTAGGTATTTTGTTTTCTTTGTAGTGGTTGTGAATGCTATTGAGTCTTTGATTTGACTCTTAGCTTGACTGTTATTGATGTATAGGAGTGTAACTGATTTGTGTAACATGAGACTTTGCTGAATTTATTTATCAATTCCAGGAGTCTGTTGGTGGAATCTTTTGGGTTTTATAGGTATAACATCATATCATTTGCAAAAAATGATAATTTGACCTCCTCTTTCCTGATTTGGATACCCTCTATTTCTTTTTCTTGCCTGATTGCTCTGGGTAGGACTTCTAGTACTATGTTGGCAAGAGATGGTGACAGTGGGTATCCTTGTCTTGTTCCAGTTCTTAGTGGGAATGCTTTCAACTTTTCCCTATTCAGTATGATGCTGGTTGTGGGTTTGTCATATATGGCTTTTATAATTTTGAGATATGTTCCTTCTATGCCTAGTTTGTTGAGAGTTTCTATCATGAAAGTGTGGTAAATTTTGTCAAATGCTTTTTCTGCATCTATTGAGATGATCATATGATCTTTGATTTTGCTTCTGTTAATGTGGTGAATCACATTTATTGATTTACATATGTTGAACCATCCCTGCATCCCTGGGATGAAGCCCACTTGGTCATGGTGGATTTTTTTTTTTTTTTGGATAATCTATTGGATTCAGTTTGCTAGTATTTTATTGAAGATTTTTGTATCTATATTCATAAGGAGTATTGGTCTGTAGTTTTATTTTTTTGTTGTGTCCTTTCCTGTTTTTGGTTTCAAGGTGATACTGACTTGTAATTCTGTGGTATCAGTTGTAATATCTCCTTTGTCATTTCTAATTGAGCTCATTTGAGTCCTTTCTCTTCTATTCCTGGTTGATTTAGCCTGATGTCTGTCAGTGTTGTTTATCTTTTCAAAGAACCAACATTTTGGTTCATTGATCTTCTTTATAATTTTCTTGTTTTCAGTTTCATTTAGTTCTGCTCTAACTTTAGTTATTTCTTTATTCTTCCAGTTTGGGGCTTCGTTTGCTCTTCCTGTTCTAGTTCCTTGAGATGTGCCATTATATTGTTAATTTTTAATCTTTCTGTCTTTTGGTTGTGGGCACTTAAGGCTATGAATTTTTCCCTTAGGACTGCTTTTGCTATATCCCATAGAGTATGATAGCTTGTGTCTTCTTTGTCAATCAGTTTAAAAAATCTTAATTTCTATCTTAATTTCTTCTTTGATCTAATAATTATTCATCAGCAGGTTGTTTAATTTCCATGACTTTATGTAGAATTGGGAGTTTCTCTTGGAGTTGATGTCTAGTTCTATTCCATTGTGGTCTGAGAAGATACATGGTGTGATTTCAACATTTAAATTTGTTGAGCCATATTTTGTGGCCTAAAATATGACCAGTCTTGGAGAATGTTCCATGTGCTGATAAGTACAATGTGTATTCAGTTAATTTTTGGGTGAAATGTTCTTTAAATATCCGTTAGGCCCAGTTGTTCTATGGTGACGTTTAAATCCAGTGTTTCTTTGTTTATTTTTGCTTGGATAATTGTCCAGTTTTGTCAGTGGTGTACTGAAGTCCCCAGTATTACAATGTTGCTGTTTATCTCTCTCTACTTAGGTCTAGTAGGGTTTGCTTTATGAATCTGGGTGCTCCTGTGTTAGGTGCATAAATATTTAGGATTGTTATGTTTTCTTGTTGAATTGCTCCTTTTACCATTATATATTGACCATCTTTGTCTTTCTTTACTATTATTGATTTAAAGTAAATTTTATTGGATATGAGAATGGCTACACCTGCTTTCTTTTGGGTTCCATTTGCATGGAATATTTTTTTCCAACCCTTGACCTAGAGTCTGTAAGAGTCCTGTGGGTTAGATGTGTTTCCTGGAAATAGCAGATACTTGGCTTTTTTTTCTTTTTTAACTCCATTCAGCCAACCTATGTCTCTTGAGTAAGGAATTTAAACCATTCACACTGATTGATAGAATTGATATGTGGGATTCTGTTCTGTTCATCCTGTTGGTTAGTACTGTATTGCTTTGTTTTACTTCTTGTATTGTTGCTTTATTTGATCTCTGACCTTTAGCTTTTGGGTGATTTACACTGGAGTGTGACCATTCTGTTGCTCTACGTATAATGCAGTTCTGAGTATTTCCTGCAGGGCAAGTTTGGTCTTGACAAATTCCTTCAGTGTTAGCTCTCTGAGAAAGTCTTTATGTCTCCCTCATACAAGAAACTTCGTTTTGCAGGATACAAAATTCTAGGCTGGCATTTGTTTTGTTTAAGAAGACTGAAGATGGGGCCCCAGTCCCTTCTGGCTTATAAGGTCTCAGTTGAGAAGTCTGCAGTTAGCTTGATGGGTTTTCCTATGTAAGTTACTTGATGTTTTTGTCATGTGGTTTGCAGGAGTTCCTCCTTTGTGTTGACTTAGGCCACTCTGATGACTATGTGTCTTGGTGATTGTCTGTATGCAATGAATCTCCCAGGTGTTTGTTGAGCTTCTTTTACCTCCATGTCTAAATATCTAACAAGACTGAGAAATTTTCCTCAATTATTCCCTCAAATAGGTTTTCCAGCCCTTGTGTGTTCTCTTTTTCACCCTCTGGGATGCCTATAAGTCTTACATTTGGGCATTTTACATTATCCCACATTTCTCATAGGCTTTGTTCGTTCCTCTTAATTCTCTGCTCATTATTTTGATGTACTGATTTAATTCAAAAGAGTTGTCTTCAAGTGCTAAGATTCTTTATTCTGTCTGGTCTAGTCTATTCTTCAAACTTTCCACTGTGTTTTTTATTTCCTTTAGTGAATTTTTCATTTCAGAAGTTCTGTCTGGTTTTTCTTTAATATGTTGATCTCTTTAGTGAATTTTTCATTCATTTCCTCTATTGTTTTTCTGGTTTCTTTGAGTTGGTTTTCCATTTTCTCTTGGATTTCATTGAGCTTCCTTATCCATATTTGGAATTCTTTATCTGTCCTTCCCGTATTTTCATTTGGCTAGTATCCATTGCTAGAGGGCTGGTGTTCCCTTATGTGGGAGCCCTTTCATTCTGATTTTTCATACTTCCAGAATTCTTATGCTGATTCCTTCTTATCTGGAGCACTTGTTGCTTCTAAATTTTTGATTTTCTTTTGTTTAGATGGGGCTTTCCCCCAACTCACTTGTATGGGGGTGTTTTTAGCATATATTGGATAAGAACCTTTGGCTTGGTTTGTGGGTACTTTGATGGTGATTTGGGTTCCCGATAGATGCCTTAGTAATGGATATCCTTAGTGTGATGCTTTTCTCAGTTACTAGTTGTCTATATGTTGTAGCAGTGGGTGTGGTATGTGTGTGGGCAGATTTCCTATTTCTCTTTGATGAGAGAGGATCTAGGTCTTTGAAATCCCTTCTTTATGGTCATCTTAGCAGTGTGAATTGTAATGGCACACCCAGTTTAATCACTGAGACAGTAGGTGGTGCTTGTAGCTGAGAAACGTCCTCACCCTGTATGATTGAGCCAGTGAATGTTGAAAAGGTCTGTGCAAATTGACTTCCCTGTCAGTAGGTGGCATTTGCCCAAAGGAACAGCCTGCCTTGTTGTTTTTGTGCTTGACTCTAGTCCCTCAGGAGGAGCACTCAAATACCCTAGGTGGCGAGTGGGGCCATAGAACTTAAGGTGAGTCCTCATTCTCTGCCTCAGTGGAGAGGAATGTGGGAGTGAAGCTGGGTGGGGCTGGGTTAGGTGGGCTTGCCCTTAGGCTTCACAGAAGTTGGTAAGGTAGCTGTTTGGGCAGGGTTCAAATGTCTGCTCCCAGCTTCTGGGGGTAGCCACCTGGGAGAAGCTGAAGTGGCCCTACCCAGCTAGAAGGTCTGCTTGCAGAGACAGGGCCATCTGAGATTCAAAATCTGTCTAGTTCTCACGTCTCCCCGCCGGCCTGTGTGTCTGTCCTGCTTGCCTGTGTCTCTGCAAAATGCCAGCAGACAGGGAACTCTGAAATTGGGTACCCTGGTTTTAACACAAGTCCACAGAGGAAGAGGTGTGGGCCTGGCTCTCTGTGGATGCCTCAGCCTGGATTACACACCCAATAGAGAGAGGCAGCTGCTCAAGTACTTCTCACCACAAGCTGTTTTCCTAGCTGGAGTGGGTTGGGGAGGGGCTGCCATGCGTGGTCAGCCCCAGTGCCTGAGTGAACTGTACCTGGTTGCTATGACAATGAGGTTGCACCATAGAATCCACCCTAAACAAACAGGGCTATTTTCTTGGGGAGGGGGTGTGGATTGATGGGCTCTCTCCAAACTCACTGTGTCTTGTAACCCCGCCATATTCTACTGCCATATCTGTCCACATGGGCTTCTTTGGCACCCAAGACAAACTCAGAGCTCTCCCCTTGTGTCTCCATCAACCCGCCCATGTCCTGAGGGGATGGGTCTGGGCTATTTGTCTGATCTGCTGGTGTGGGACTGTGTGTAATGCCCTAGGGCAGGGAGTTTCCCAATTGGACACCCCAGATCCGCTGCAGGTGCTCAAACAGAGAGGTGTGGGTCTCACTTTCTGTAGAAGCCTCAGCCTGTGGTGCACCCCATTGTGGGGAGGCCACCGCTCGCCTACTTCTCAGGCAAACTGCTTTCCTGGTTAGAGTGGGTGGGGGAGGGCCGCCACTCATGGTCAGCCCTAATACCTGAATGAAGTGCACCTGGTGGTTATGACACCCAGTGCTGTGCTCTACGCGCTTCCTCACCATAGACTCTACCCTAATTAAACAGGGAAGTTTTCCTGTGGGTGGAGGGTGAGTGTTCTTTTGGCTGGTCATGTCTCGCAAACCCGGAGTATTCTATCAGATCTGTCGGCGTGGGCTTCCTTGCCACCCAAGTCCAACTCAACAGACCTCCCTCCTGTGTCCCCAGCAACCCACTCCTGTCCAGGGGCCAGGGCCTGGAGTCCAGCCTGTTTGTCTGACCTGCTAGTGTGCAATTCTGTGAAATACCCTCGGGCAGGAAGTTTCCGAATCAGACACCCCAGGATCTTCTGCAGGGAATGAAAGGGAAAGGCATGGGTCCCACTTTCCGTGGAATCCTCAGCCTGTAGCACACTGCCACTGGGGGTAGTGGGGTGGCTGCTTGCCAAATTCTCGGTCCAAACTGCTTTCCCTGTTGCGGTGGTTGGGGGTGGGGTGGGGAAGGAAGCATCTGGATGGAGAAAAGCCGGTGTCCAACCTCTCATGACACTTTCCCTGGTGGGGAGCTTTGCACAGAATGTCCAAGCTCTGGGATCATGAAAGTTCTCCCACTGTATTGTGTTTGCCCCCGTGTCTGGGCTCATGGGGGTGGAAAAGCCTCCAAGAAATTCAGTAGTCTGCTGGCCACCGAATTCCTGTGGACGGGTGAGAGTTATCCCCCCTTACCCTTTCACTGTGCTTGGAGCTTCTCTGGGTTTCATTCTTGCCAATATCTTTTCTTCTTTATCTTCTCCCTTCTCTGCTTTGCAGTTTTTCTCCGTGAGATTTTTTTCTCCGTGAGTTTTTCTCCTCCTCCAGCAGGCTCTAGCACCTATCTCTATGATTCACACCCACTCTGCTTTTCTTCTCTTCTTTCCTTTGTCAGAATTCTTATTTTCCAACCACACAGTCTGGCAAGCACTGTCTCTAGTCGGTCATCTTGCTTAACATATCTAAATTTAGCTAATATCAGCTGGTTAAGAGTGAGATGTGAAACTTCTATTTAAACATTTAGATTGAATAAAACATCTGGTTTTTTAGGTTTTCCTATTCATTGTCCTTCAGATTGAGCTCCTTATCACTTGCCTCGTGGATACATACCACAGACTCTCATCTCTGTTCAGGAGGCATTTCCCATCATCCAGTCTGCTCTTGGCAAGGATTGCCAGATTCCCACTACTCAGGTGGAGCTCAGGCCTCATACTTCCTTCCAGCTTCACTGTACTTCTGTCTAATGTTGTTCCAATCTCAAAGCTTTCGTTTATACAATTACAATCCATAATATTCTTTTAAGATTTTAACACTAAGGGAGTTTTTATTTTCAATAAACTAAAGTTTGCAGTTGCTAGTCGTGAAAAAGTCATAGTGGAGAAAACCTGGATGGGGAGACAATGGTGGCATTTAGAGGAGCCTAACATATTGTTTCAGCAGAATTGTTAGATGACATTTGCCATTATACATAAAAATAGTTGCCCACATGCTGATCTTGACTTTATTATAAGTGACATTGAGTGATGTTTACAAGGAAGTTAGATAGCTGCCTGCTTGTTACTTCAGAATGGCATGGCATCTTATATAAGGTGTATTTTTTGATCTTTTGCTATGTAAAGAAAAATTATTTCTGAAATGAAATAAGGTACTTTATATTTCTGCTCTGCTCACTCTTTCTATCCTTCTGTTTATCTGTGATCTAGATACCAGATGACAATTTTAGCATTCCAGAAGGTGAAGAAGATCTGGCAAAAGCAATTCAGATAGCCCAAGAACAAGTTACAGATACTCAAATTTTGGTGAGAATTTTGAACACTATTGTAGCCTATAGTTTAGCAGTAATACTTTTTATATGAAGTTTTGAAAGTCATTTAAACTTTAAATATTTACCTTACCTATTAAATGCAATCCTATTGCCTGACATCTCTTTTTCACTTCTGTTTCTTTTGTCATCAAACCTTCACTTGAGGTAAGTAGTCATATTTACTGTTATTTGGGTTTTCATTCTCCACATCATGGTCATTCTGGCATGACTTTGCAGAAAGTGACACCTTCCATCAGGAGTCTGCCTGATTAATCTCACCGGAGATTAAAACAACACTCGTATTCAGAATTCGCTATCATATACAGATTCTGTAGTCTGTTTTGTAAGCATCTGTGTCTTTTTTTATGGACGTATTTAGCTCACAGGGAATGCTTAATATATTATGACTTTTCTTGTGAGGCTTATGAACTAAATTAAGGAATATGATGGGGGATGCTTTTTGATTATAATACCACCAATTAAAAGTATATAAAACTGATGGCATTCCTATAAAATTGAACACAAATTTAAAAATTGAAAATAATGACAGCAAAAATGTTTTTAAAAGCATTTTTTAATAGCTACATAAAGAAGGATCCTTTTTTTCAATGATTAAACATTTTCATGCTGAAAGTTTGAAGGAAATTGTGACACTCTTATTTAATTGCAGATTTAACTTCGTTGGTACAAAATAATTAGACTTTACCCCATATTATACCCTGTGTCAATCTTCCATATTCTGTAGACTTCCTCCATCTAGAAACCCAATAACTTCTTTCTAAAATATCTGCCCTCTCAAAATTGAAAAAAAAAAAAAAACCCAAAAGGAATATTTCATGAAGAATTGATTACATTCTGTTATAAATGGAGGGCTCCAGCTCATAGTAAATGGCATTCTTTAATGCATTCTATGGATATAGTTCCTTCATGGTAGACACAGAGTGAGATCTACTGCATAGATTTACTAGTCTGTTGGATATCTCAATGAAATAATTTATAGGAATAGTTTTAAAAGATAGCATTTTGAATTAGTAAAACTGATGTTTATTGACTGCTCATCATTTTCTTGCTTTACAACATTAACTAAAGAAGGGTTTTCAGAAATGCCTTATGTACCACTTATTTGTATTGGTATTTGGTAGACACACCTAACATAGTGCTTAGCACATAGTAGGCACTAAATAAATAGCAGTTGAGTAAGTGAATGAATAAATGAATCATTGCATAAAAAAATTATGAACCAAACTGTAATTGCTTCTTTGGTGGTACCAAGCTAGAAGTTGTTTGTAAATGCAAAGATGAATCAAAAGAGGATAATTGGGGAGGAAATAAAATGTAGTAGCTGTTATAGCTACTGAGCCAAATATCAGAAATTCTTCTTTCATCAATTTATTGAAAGCTTTTCTTTATCATAATATTGCAAGAGTTAACACTCTAGATTTCTGGCATTTCTATAGCTGGTTGAATCTCATTTAGTTTTTTTTTTACCTGATTTTTTAGTTCTTCGGAGGAACAGTGCTATGCAGGAAATTCACAAAAGTTGCCCTTAAGCTGTTTACATTAAATATGAATTCATTTTATCATAAGCATATCAGTTATGTTTTTTAATTTGCTTTTTATTTCTAATTGTATTTTAATCTTCAAAAACTAGCTTTTAATTGTGCCATGGACTATCTAAAAGAATATGTATTGCTTATTACATCTATTTTCTTTTGTTATGAATTTACTACGTCCATTTATAAACCAGATGCAGTGCCATCTATATTAAGGATAAAATTTTTCTTAAAGATTGCAAGTGAAAGGTTATGATACTTTCCTAATAGTAAGAAATAGCATTATTTGATAAAAAATTAAAAAAGATTACTTGCTGAATAGTTGACATTTAAATAAGTTCTTACGATTTTCTTTAAACTTTGGTAATATAGATTAAATATTTGAGAATTGATTACATTGTTTATTTTATAAACTTTAAATTGTACATTTGATACACTTTCAGTTTCCTAGTAGGTACAATGATCTGAAGTATGAATATTTTTGTTGTATTTAAGTGATTTTTGGAAAAAATTGAGAAGGTAAGAAATGTTAATCTGTAACAATTGTATAGTTTGGTTATATTGTCAATTGTTTCTTGAAACTGAAGTCATTTCCAAATATGTATGTATGTGTTCCTTAGATATGTGTATGTGTGTGTGTATAAAATGTTTATATATATTCTTTAGATTTTTTTATGTAATTTTATAAAAAGAAAGGTCTACTTATATTTAAGCTTGGTCTCCCCTTTAAACTCTCAGACTTCTTATGAGTGTATTATTACCTTTTTTGGTAATTCTTTAGTCTCTTTTGTTCTTGATTTTTTGTTCTGTTTTCAACGTGCAATCTCAAAGGTCCTTTATATTGTTATCATTCTGTAATGACTTCCAATTTTTATAAAAATCAGAATTATGATCTTTAAAGATAACAGTGGCAAGATACCCAAATTATATAATTGTTAAATTCCCTTACATCTCTCCTCTTCCTCTTCCTTCTCCTTCCCTTGTACTTTCTCCTCTTTTGAGAATTTAAGTAGAATTTAGGGCATTTCTTTGGAATATTCAAGTATTTTTGAAGAAGACCAATTGATAATTGACCCAAGCTAAAATGTTGTTCAGCATATTTATCAGTAGTTCTCATACTATTGTAGGAGGTTCTCTGGGGGTCCTGAAAACCTCTTTCAGGAAGTTTAGGTTGTCCTTCATTTTCCAACTACACATCTGTCCGAGGTTGTATTTTCTTCAAGTAGCTCAACCAAGAAAACATATCACAACAGGTTGAATGTGGAAGCAAATATGGGGATCAACCTGTTTTCTCTAGACATTAAAAATACTTGCAAAAATTTGTAACAATGTCATTCTTCTCACTAATTTATTTTTCTGTTTTGGAAAATATATTTTTTATAAAAAATGTTAATCTATATTACCATGTGAAATTTTATTATAGTTATTTTAAAGTAAATATATATTTTAAGGTTTAATTTCTAATATGATAACTCTTGATAGATATAACTCATATAAATAAAAGATCTATGGTGTCTTTAATAATTTTTAAGAGTAAAAAAGTGTTCTGAGAACCTAAAATTTGAGAACTTTTATAAAATTGTATTCTAAGATATTTTCAATTATACTGATTAAAAATTAATATCAATTATTTTTCTTGCTAAGAGTTATGTTAGTGTAACAAAAAAGGGAAATTTGTATTCCTTTTATTTAAACCTAATCTCGTGCGGGGTTAGTGACATTAACTTAAATCTTTTATATAATAATGTTAATGAATTAAGTATATAATTTCTATTACTTTTACAGGCTCAATGACTAAGTCACAATAAAAAAAGCTGTTTGTCATTATTGAGTTCCTATTCTCTTGATGTATATATTTAGTTTCAATTAAAGAATCAGGCTCCTTGTACCCAAGGCCTTGCCTATAGATTATCCAAGCCAGTATATTTTACTTAATGTGAATTAAGGAGTTGATAAAATGAAGTCCCACATAAAATAAGGTTTATGTTTTAAGACCACTTGGATTTTAGTGTTTATTTTCTTTTCTCACTAGTCAATCAGTTTTCAAAGGAACTCACTGACATTAGAGCAATTCAAAGTATATCAAGATACTTAACTTGGATATGGTTTAGTACTTTTTTACAATTCAATGTTTAATTAGTTCTTAAGTCCTATATGTTTTTATGTCCTCAATATCTCTCTTATCGTTCCCCTTGCCTTCATCCCCCACTTAGTCTACCTTAGATCTACCCTATGTGTCTTCTCTTACCTGAGCTACTACATGCTGTTGGTACTGGGCTTCCTTCTACTCTCACCTAAAAGATGTTTCTAAATGCAAATTTGAATTTATCTCTCCTCAGCTTAAATTACCAGTGTCTCCACCCTTCTGCCTGCCCTTGCCTTCTTGATATGCTTTCTGCCTAGCTTTCCAACTTTGTCTGTGGTCCTTTCTTCCTAAGACCCCGAGCCTGAATGACTGAACTGTCACTCCTTGTCTTTGCCTCAGATGTTTTCTTGCCTTGAATTTCCTTTTATCCTTCTTAATCTGTTGAACTTCTCATCTTCTAAAGTCCAATTTATGAGTGTCCTTAACAGAGCCTTCATTCACCTATCCAAGACAAGTGAAATATTCTTGTTCTTTATGTATCACTTTACCAAGCAGATCTCTATTGTAATCATAGCATGATATAGAAACCTCTCTACTTAGAAAAATAGAAAATGTCAACTTTAGCACTTTCATAGACGAAAGGAAGGTACATACCAGAGCACCTTTGTTCAGCAGATTTCTGGGTTACATATGGGTAGAATAATTTTTGATAATCCATCAATCTGCAAAATGAGGCATATTTTGTTAGTTTATAGAGTGCTTGCTTTTTTTGTGCATATTCTGAGATGTTTATTAACCTCATAATTAAGTAATTAATAGTTACAAAACCATAAGGAGGTAATATATTTTATACATATGTATATAATATATAATTGAGATAAAAGTATAACTTAAATTACATAAATGCACATAATGGTTTTATATATGACATCTTTAGATTTATAACTGGCTTTTGTAATCTAACCTTATAACAAATAGAAGAGCTTCTATGTTGTAATGTCTTGCTTTTACTCAATTACTCTATCAATTCCTTGAAAAAGGATTGTGTTTTATTCATATTTAATTCTGAGTGCCTTTCTCAGTGTCTGGCACATGGGAGATGTGCACAAAATAAACGTTGAATGCATATCATATGTGAAGATAAAAAAGACATTTATGATCACATTACAGCTTGGAACGTGTGTTTGTTGTGTATCAATGCAGAAAGACTATGCATTAAGGCATAAATATATTTAGAGGTTTATACATTTTAATTACAGTATAAGTATGAACCATAGAAATTTAAGATGGTTGTATTTCTGTTCTGTGTCAATGTTTCAAGGTGTGTGCATTAGATACATTCAGGAGGAGATATAAAGGAAATATTTATTTGATTCAAATATTTATTTGAATCTATCAGGTGTATTGTATGCATGCATACAAACATCTTATAGACTACACATAGGGATCTTTAGAAACTAGAGTAGGTACATCCTCCTCCAGTGTCTCCATCCTCCACTTTCTCCTATTTTCCCAATTCCTTCCAACTTTAATTCATCTCATCCTAAAATCATTTACAAATTTATTGACCAAATAAGCCATGGTTGCTTTTATTATTATATAATGAATATTTACTTCGAGCTATCTTATGCCCTAACCTTACAATTATATATAATCTTCAGTGCTAGTAACTACCACACTGCAAAGACTTGAAGGTAGGCATTCTGTACTTTGCTACTTTGGCATCTCCCATGACATTTAATATAGGGTCCTGCATATTGTTACATAATGTATTTTTGATAATTTAGGAAGAATAATCCAAATATTTCTACTTGAGCTTTAAAAAATCATTGAAAGCCCTAGACATTTCTCAGGATTTTTCTGTAGCTCCCCAACTTTACCTCGGCTCACCACAGTTATGAATGTCATAGCAGTTACTAGTAATGAACATCAAGCATTAAATTATGTATAACACTTTTGAAAAGAACTATTTGGAGCAACAAAGATCCTCTTTCCTCAGTGCATTGTTATATAAATATTCTGTGCATTCTGTGTAACATGGTAGGTAATGCTTACCAGGTTAAGAAAGAGAAGGAGGAAGGGAAGTTTGCTGCCAAGTTTCTATAGGTAAAAATAGATGTGCTTATCCAAATGATCAGCAAATTAATTAGTGACTTCTTGCCAGTGAAAAGAAAATGAAAGCACTTGAGAGACAATGATGCTTTGACATTTTTAAGAAACTAATTATTCGATTTATTTTACACACTGACTTACGTGATATGGTAGTTTTTATGGCTGTCTCAATTTCATTTGTCACTTGCTGAAATGTCTCCATTTTTTTTAGTTTAGGAGTTTGCAAAGTTTTTCTGTCAAAATATTAATAGTAAATACATGTTGAGTATCCCTTATCCAAAATCCTTGGGGCCAGAAGTATTTTGGATTCCAGATTTTTTTGGGTTTTGGAATATTTGCATATATTAATACATAATGACATATCTTGGGGATGTGGGGATGGGACCCAAGTTTAAACACAAAATTCACTTGTATTTTATATATACCTCATACACATAGCCTGAAGGTAATTTTATACAATATGTTACTGAGCAATCAATAGGATCACTGCCCAATATGCATAGAAGCCAATACCATGCCACTGGCCTTTGAGAAAAGAAAAGATATATTGTCAGTTGACTGGCAGGAGACAGGAGGTAAAGCTCAAATTTGTCTCCCTGAGCTGGGGGCTGGGCCAGATTTTATAAGTATAAGTAAAAAGGCATGATCTGACTGAATCTTGCAACAGGGTGATGCAAGGCTTTATTTGGTTGGATCTCAGGTCTTGTCATGTGGTATCTGCTTCTTAATTCAATTCCTGCTCTTCAATCTGGTCTGAGCACTTAGGTTCCACCTATGTTTGCATACCTGGTTCACGTGGGCATGCTCAGGTTATGTGACCTTCAACATGGGGGGGCCATAGTAACTGAAAAACAACTCACAACTTTGTGACATATAAGTTGAACCAGATTGGTTTGGTGTGGTTATAAAATTTTTAACAATTTTGTATATGGAACAAAGTTTGTGTTAAGTACTTACATGTGGAATTTTCTACTTGTGACATCATGTCAGTGCTCCAAAAGTTTTGGCTTTTGGAGCATTTCAGACTTTGGATTTTCAAATTAGGGATGCTCAACATGTATTTCAGGTTTTGAGGGCCATAAAGTAGCTGTGGAGACTAGTCAGCTGTCTCATGCAGTGCAAAATCAGCCATATTCAATATGTTAACAAATAGGCATGGTGGTGTTCTAATAAACTTTATTGATAAGAACAGTTAACTGACCCCTGATCTAGTTGATAGACTTATTATACTTCCATTATGTACCAGTAGTGCAAGCTTCTTTTATCATCCTTTATTTATTCCACAGTGTTTCTAAAAATCAAGGTACCAAAATTGTGGTATTTATTTTTATAATGATAATTAAAAGAATTAAAAGACCCATGGATTTTTTTCCTCTTTTAAAATTTGTTATATGCTATTGGAAGATCAAGCTGACCTCCTCATTGTCCTCAGACAATCCTATCAAACTCTTGCCTCAGGGCCTTTCACTTACTGAAGCTGTATCTAGAACATGAGTCACTGTACCTCTTTGTGTAGATTTATGCTCAGATAGCACTTATTCAATGAAATCTTTCTCTACCATCTTATATACATAGCAACCCAGCTCCACATGCATACTTCCCCTAGGCCTGGCTCTCCCTGTCTTTAATCCTCTGCTTTTTTTCTGCCAGGCTCTTAGTACCATCTGCTATACTATATATTCTTTATTTAGTTATTCATATTCTGTCTTCATCCTCTTTACTATTAGATATGAGGACAGAAACTTGTTTGTTTTCCTCTGTTTTATCCCTATTGATTAAAACAGTTCCTGGCACATAACACCCAAGAAAAATTGTTGATAAAATGAAGGAATGAATGAATGAATCAAAGGCCTGTTATTAATTAAAGCTTTGATGTTTCAGAATGAATAACTGTATATTTAAATTTCAGGAACAGAAGACAGTTCTTCCTTCAAAGCATGCAGTACCTGAAGTAATAGAAGACTTTCTCTGCAATTTCCTGATCAAAATGGGAATGACCAGAACTCTTAATTGCTTTCAGTCTGAATGGTAAACAATTATGTGGATAAATAGTTCTCCAGAAATGTTAATAACATTTAACATGTACACTTTTAACTGTCTTAACAGACTTTGAAATGATTCAGCTTATACATAATGGATGGCAACCTTTCCCATCTCCACCCTTGAAACCACAATACACACAGATACACACAGACACACACACACACAAAATCAGAATATCAGTTGCAAAGAAAGTTGTATTAAACATCTTTCTCAAATATTAAAGTTTAAGTGATTTTTTTCAAAAATCAAGAAAATAGAATATATTCTGGAGTTATAAGACACAAAGTTATTTTATGGAATACTTTCCTAATATTTTTGTGTAATTATTAAGGGTATTATTTCCTGTATTTAGACTCCTACTAATAGTACTACTTTGCTTGTTTTATTTATAGTATAGTGGCTTGCCTTTTTATACTCATACAACTGATTCTTTTTCTATAAATATTCTTTCATTTAGAAGTAAGTGGAATTATATTTTCGAATATTACCTAAACATAAGATTTTCTTGTCATAATTTAAAATTTTGATAGCTTATTGGTTATGAAAATCAGCAGGCTTGCTATCTTTATTCCTTTCCTTTAGTAATAATGTTACCAGCCATGTTTACAGATTCCCTAACATTCTTTAAAGAAATATTATTAAATAATTGGATATGAAAATGTTTGATCTTTGATTGCCTTTGCATATTATAGAAGGAGGAATTAATATGATATATAAAGATGTTTCTAGTGGTTTTGAACTAAATCTTAATTTTAAATAGAGAGGTAATGGGCAATTACAACTAATGCAGCTGTGGTATAATTTTTTTTTTTCGTTTTTTTGTTTCTCATACACTGAGAACATGCACATAAGAGTGATCAGTTTTATTATTTGAGATTGCACATCTAATATTAATAAATTTAATGAAGAGAACAATTTTTTCTTAATGCAAAGAAAAACACAACATTTGGTGCTAGAGAAATACTACTACTTCTTTTTTTTTTCTTTTTTTTTGAGACAGAGTCTTGCTCTGTTGCCAGGGCTAGAGTGCCATGGCGTCAGCCTAGCTCACAGCAACCTCAAACTCCTGGCCTCAAGCGATCCTACTGCCTCAGCCTCCCAAGTAGCCGAGACTACAGGCATGCACCACCATGCCCGGATAATTTTTTCTATATATTTTTAGTTGTCCAGCTAATTTCTTTCTATTTTTTTGGTAGAGACTGGGTCTCGCTCTTGCTCAGGCTGGTCTTGAACTCCTGAGCTCAAATGATCTGCCCACCTTGGCCTCCCAGAGTGCTAGGATTACAGGGATGAGCCACTGTGCCCGGCTGATACTACTTCTTTTAAATCTGGAAATTGTACGAATGATTTAAAAAATGATTTTTATAAAAATGTCCCTATGACATAGTTACAAATAGATTAGAAAATACATTTTTGTGAAAGTAGGTAAATGATTAACTTCTAGTACTGATAAAATGAAAGATTAGGCTGGGCTTGGTGGCTCATGCCTGTAATCCTACCACTCTGGGAGGCTGAGGCGGGCAGATTGTTTGAGCTCAGGAGTTCGAAACCAGCCTGAGCAAGAGTGAGACCTCGTCTCTACTAAAAATAGAAAGAAATTATCTGGACAACTAAAAATATATAGAAAAAAAAAATCAGCTGGGCACAGTGGCTCGTGCCTGTAGTCCCAGCTACTCAGGCGGCTGAAGCAGTAGGATCGCTTGAGCCCAGGAGTCTGAGGTTGCTGTGAGCTAGGCTGACGCTACGGCACTCACTCTAGCCGGGGCAACAGAGTGAGACTCTGTCTCAAAAAAAAAAAGAAAGATTAGTGTGATTCAATTATCTTTTTGTCTTCTAAGAATGTGTGTTAGGACATGTAGTGCTTGTATGTTAGGCCAGTCCAAAATGTGAAATGATTCCCTTAGAGAAATCTGGATTTTAGTATACTCTTAACAATTAGTTGATTGTTTTCATATGAAATGAGATGAAATTTCAGGGTACCATGATAGTATGAGGATTTAAAGAACCCATAAGCAAGCATACCATTTAATATAATATTGTAATTATAGGATAAAATTTATTAAAGTATCTCTTTATAATATGGGTTTAGTAATATTGTGGTTCAGATAATTTTATCCTTATCTCTAACTGCCAGGTTTCAATGAGATTATACTGTGTTGAATACTTTATTTCATGTGAAACATTTTTTATTTTGATCAGAACCTTTACTTAGTCAACATAGTAGAATTATAAGAACATCAAATATATTATTTTTATAATTTTTATTAGAGGAAAAAACGCTTAGAATGTATCATTGCTGTGAATTCACTTAATCTTATAAAAGGTGACCAAAGTTTTTCCATTGTTAGTTTGTTAAAAATAAACAAATAAACAAAAAAATGGGCAGTAAAATTTGACTCATGTTCTTTCAATCCTCAAACAGAAAATATAATAAATTCTTTAAATCCAGGGTCAGAAAATTCTTAAAATCCTTGGGTCAAATTCGACCTGCCTCCTATTTTTGTCAATAAAATTTTATTGGAATACAGACATGACCTTTCTTTTAGGTATTGTCCATGGCTACTTTCACACTATAAAAGCAAAGTTAGTCATGACAGACATGAGATGGCAAACAAAGATTTTTTTTTTTTCAAATTCTAGAATGTTTATTTATGACCCTTTATAAAAAAGATTGCCAAGCCCTGCTTTATGTAATATATATATATATATATATATATATATATATATATGTGAATGTAATAGGAATTTGTTCTATGAACCACTAAGAAGTTACTACTGGGAATTTAGTCAATGCTGTTTTTATGTCTGTTTGAGAAATACTCTGTGGACAATGGTAATTTCCCTGGGGGCAAAATTAAAGAAGAGATTAATATGGAGAAAATATGGTCGTGTAATTTAAATACCCTTACCTGAGTATATGTCACCCATCTCTGTCCCTATACTGGATTATTCTCCTGGCTGTTAACATGGTCAGAACTACTTACCCTAAACGTTCATTCTTACTCTTTTCTTGCCTCTTACTACCACCTTCTTTCTCAAACTCTTCTTCCCTTTCCAGCCAATATTTTGAAAATAGAGTTTTTATTTTTTTCTTTCTTTATTTTTTTATTTCCTATTCAATCTCTGACTGTCTCCACTTTGGCATGAGCCTACCATTTTGTGGAAGGTAGGGTGGTAATAAAAATGCCATCAAAGGTAATAGTGCAATTATTTATAACATTTGATTATGAATTTAATTTTTTTATTATCAAAGAGATTATAAATTAGGAATATATTTCTTTAATTTGCAAAAAAGATAAATATTGCAGCTTTTAGTCAATAAACTTTGGTATAATATGTAATTACTCCAATGTCAGCAGTGTAGTTACAACTTTCTGGGAATGGTTAGATTTTTTTTTTTAATTTGATATTTATGGTTCATTGGTTTCCTTTATAATGCTATTTACTCCATACATTTAAAAACATTATTCTGAGACAAAGTCCATGGCACAAAAGATTAGGAGCCTCTCCTTTGGTAGATGCCCTGGTTCTTGCCAGGCCACCAACAGATTCCTTTTTTTAACCCTTTTCTTTCTTTTCCTTACTTTTCAGCACTGTTTATGTTCTTCGCAGAGGTGTAACTTGCCTGCTTGCTTGCTCTACATATGAGCATACCCCTTCTATAGTCCTGATTCACTACTGCAAATTTCAAATTTGCAACTGTCATTTGGAATAGGAAAAATAAGCAAATAAAAAATATAAGCCCAAGAAGCTTAGAGTGACATTTCTTAGGTCCAGAACATGCTAAATAACCATGGCCAAATCAGAATGCAGTTCAAAATATCTGGTGTATATATTCAATTATAGACATCTTTCAGAATTTACAGCTATTTATGAATTTTACAAGCTCTTCTATGAGAGAGTTACTTGAGGATGAGAAACATAATTTGTTCAACATCATATTCCTTGCAAAAATCCTGGAATTTAGTAGACATTTTTTTTTATTTCAGCATATTATGGAGTACAAATGTTTAGATTATATATATTGCCTTTGCCTTACCTGAATTAGAGCTTCAAATGTGTCCATCCCCCAGACGGTGCACACTGCACCCATTAGGTGTGAATATACCCATCCCCTTCTCCCCCTCCCACCTGCCTGACACCCAATGAATGTTACTACTAGATGTGCACATAAGTGTTGATCAATTAATAACAATTTGATGGTGAGTACATGTGGTGCTTGTTTTTCCATTCTTGTGATACTTCACTTAATAGAATGGGCTCCAGCTCTGTCCAGGATAATACAAGAGGTGCTAGATCACCATTATTTTTTGTGGCTTAGTGGTACTCCATGGTATACATATACCACATTTTATTAATCTACTCATGTATTGATGGGAACTTGGGTTGTTTCCATATCTTTGTATTGTGAATTGTGCTACTGTAAACATTCTAGTGCAGATGTCTTTTTTATAGAATGTCGTTTTTTCCTTTGGGTAGATGCTCAGTAGTAGGATTGCTGGATCAGATGGTAGTTCTACTTGTAGCTCTTTGAGGTGTCTCCATATTACTTTCCATACAAGTATACTAGTTTGCAGTCCCACCAACAGTGTATGAGTATTTCTATCTCTCCACATCCATGCCAACATTTATTGTTTTGGGACTTTTTGATAAAGGCCATTTTCACTGGAGTTAAGTGATATCTCATTGTGGTTTGGATTTACATTTCCCTGATAATTATAGATGTTGAGCATTTTTCATATGTTTGCTGGCCAGTAGTCTGTCTTCTTTTGAAAAGTTTCTGTTCATGTCCTTTGCCCACCTTTAATGGGTTTTTTTTTTTTTCTTGTTGATTTTCCTCAGTTCTATATAGATTTTAGTTATCAGCCCTTTATTGGATGAGTAACATGTGAATATTTTCTCCCATTCTGTAGGTTATCTGTTTGCTCTCGTGATAGTTTCCTTGGCTGTGCAGAAACTGTTAAATTTGATCAGGTCCCATATAT